TCAAGGTTGACCGGTAACCCAAAAGATCTACTTTAAAGGAGTAAACAGCTGCGTCACAGAAGGAAGCCAAAAACTGTAGGTCGTCGGAGCTGCAGAAGCACATGTCATAGACCCCTATGGTCCATGTGCCCAAAAAGCATATACCTGGGCCTTAAAGTAGTCCCTATGTAGGTACTTTCAGGCCAAAGTATACACTGTTTGGTTACATGGACCCTTCGGGGACGTTTCTGATGAGCTTTAGTGTTCATGGCTTGGGGTTTAGGGAAGCCTCAAGCCAGCCAGTGCCCGAAAAAGGGAGTGCACCCTTGCAGTAACCCTGATAGCTCCCTTCTTTGTACCCTTCAGGGAACCCTCAAAGGAATCCCTGAAAGGGAACCGCAACATGAACCCTAAACTTTGACCTAGACTAAGAGACCTAGGTTTTGCAATCAGATAGCTCGAAGGAAAAGAAAGGCTATGACGGCTATGATGCTAGAGCAGTAGGTTTCGCAGAGTGACACAATGATTTGGAGCCATCTAAGGTGTTGTGCTTCTGTTCGTGGTGACTGTTACTAGGGCGGGTGACATTTAAACCTTCGAACATTCCTTTCATAGGCCTCCTTTCTTTTAGGGTTACAGGTTTAGGGTTTAGGGATCAGGGTTTCGGATCGCTTGAAGACGCCGTTCTTCAGGATTCCGTCCCCCGCCTCTTCGATTTGGGAAGCCAGAGAAAGCCCGCCGGCTTCCTCTCCGCCACTGGGACACCATGGCTTTTAGGAGGGTTGAGGGCTTAAGCTTTTAAGGGTTGATGCTTTGGGGTTTAGGGCACAGGGTTTAAGGTTTAGGGTTGAATAGATTTTGTTGTGTGCCTTCAGGGTTACGGTTTCTGGTGGTGTAAGGGTTACCTAGGTTTATCGAGTATAGGATTGAGGTTCTGTGCATTTAGGCATACCTACGGTTGTGCATGGGCTCACATTTAATTAGGGTTTTGGGTTCTTCTTTGGATATGGGCTTACCTTTTTATCACATGGAGCGGCGGAGGGATTGAAGTAATGTAGGGGCCTTGATAATTACCTATACTATTTCAGGAGTTCCTTATTATTATCATTACCAGTATAAGTATAGTAGATTATCCCCCAAAGCCCTAGTTTAATAATTAAGGCCCCTACATTGAGATGTCGGGGCTGATGCTACAGGAATCTCAGGTTGACTTGTCGGTAGCAGCATTCGGGCGCGGGGCCTAAACCCTAAACCCTAAACCCTAACTAAACCCTAAACCCTAAACCATAAGCAGTGTTTTCAGATCCGGCTGCAGGTTTGCATGGGGACGTTACATTAAGGGCTTTTCTGTGTGAGACCTCTGGACGAGGCCCTACACCAACACAGCTGCCTCTTGATGCAGGGGCCTCCGTCATATAGGTGGTTCTCTAAATTAGGGTCCCTTTTGGGGTACCCTAAATAATAGGTGCCGTATTATAATAAGGACCCAAAAAGCGACCCTAATTTTGACAACCACCCATATAGGTAGTTCTCTAAGTTAGGGTTCCTTTTGGGGGTCCTTTTTATAAGGGTGCCGTACTATGTTGGGGACTGAAACATAAAAAGGGACCCTATTTTTAGACAACTACCCATATATACTCTAGAGCCCACCAGGAAAGACGGGTAGTCTGCTTTACGTCCGAAGCTTGTCAGCGGAGGCCTCAAAGTGCTGGGAACCGCAAAGACAAGCTTTCCAACCACTCTGATGCAGACCTAGGTAGTATTATTAGGGATACCCCTTAAAGGGTACCCCTTCTGAGCCCTACTTTTGGCTCTCTTAAAAGGGACCTTATTGAGAGGGTCTATATCCCCAAGGGGTCCCCCTAATCCTAGCTCCCAAGACCTCCACAAATTCCCACCAACCGCAGAGAAAAGCTTTCCAACACCCTAAACCCTAAACCCCAAACCCGAAACCCTAAACCCTAAACCCTAAACTCTAAACCCACGCTGATGCAGATATCCACAAATTCCCACAAGGGCTTGCTCAAACTCTGAAGCCCAAAGTCTGAATCCTACACCCAAACCCTGATAGTGTAGGGGCCTTAAGAATTAGAATAGGGTTTTGGGGCCCACCATACCATGATTATTATAAGGAACCCCCAAAATAGTATAGGTAACTATTTAGGCCCCTATATTACCCCCTAGACCCTGGAGCTTGCACTTCCAGACACGAGTACACCCAATTTCTAAACCCTAAACTCTATATAATTCCTCAAGTTCCAATCTCTAAAGCCTGAAGCCCTCAGCCCTGAGCCAAAAAGCTTGAAACCCCAACTCATGAAGCCCTGACGTGTCATGGCGCACTATATATATATATATATATATATATTGGGTTTAGGGAACTCGAACCCAACCTTTAATCTTTTTGGGTTCTTATAACTTAGTAGTACGTAATCTGAAAGTTTAACCTTTTATTTCCAGGGCTTATGGGGAAAGTGAAGTGACCTCCAGTATTCTTCCTTTAGGGGTCTTCCTACATTTATACTCTAATGTACCCCAGCTGAGGGTTCTTATCATAGCTATACATACTATACTATACCATACCCCAAAACCCTGCTCTGATGAGTAAATCTCAAGCCTAAACCCTAAACCCAAAATACTCAACCCTAAACCCTAAACCAACCCTAAACCCTGAATCGTACAGTAGCAGGTGGCGCCGAGTCTTGGAGACTTCCAGTCTTCGTGGGCAACTGGGCAACACAAGTACTATCGAGGCCTAAAGTAATTACAGTAAACCCCAGAAAGCTGGAACATGGGTTTAGGAGGATTGGTGCTAGGATCCCTTATACTTTACTCCAAGAGCATGAGGATATTGATGTTCCAACTTTCTGGCTTCCACTATAATTACCAATCCCTAAGGGTCCATGTTCCCACATAGACATACTTTGGCCTTAAAGTAGTCCAAATATAAGCACTTTGGGGCCAATGTATATACTATTTGGGTACATGGACCCTTAGGGGTTACTAATTGCCAATACTAGCATGGAGGGTTTAGAGTTTTTGCTTTTAGGGTTTATAGGGCTTTAGATGTTTAGGGTTGAGGGTTTATGGTTCTTACGCTAGAATCATAGTATAATACGCCCCTGAATCCTAGTAAAATAATTAACGCGCCTACATGAACGCTTTAGGCTTGCGTGTTGTCTCCACCTGTCTTTTCTTTGTGGGGGTAGGTTTTGGGCTTGTAGAGTTCAGGGTGTATGGTTTGGGTTCGGGGCACCGGTACCCATGTTTACAGATTTTTGTCGTTGTCTGGGTTTAGGGTTCAGGGTTTAGGGTTTAGGCTTCAGGGTTTAGGGTTTTAGGGGATGCCATGAACCCTAAACCCTAATCCTAAGGGTCCATGTGCCCCACATAGTATATACTTTGGCTTTCAAGTAGGGCCAAAGAATATATACTATTTGGGTACATAATGAACCCTTAGGGCAACCCCTCCTTGTCAGATGAAGGTGCCTAAACCCTAAAACCCTAAACCCTATAAACCCTAAACCCTAAACCCCTCCTTGTCAGATGAAGGTGCGGGATCTAGCGCAAGGCTCTCGGGCTGAAATTGTGGGGTCGAGACCCGGTGGCCTCTGTTTTGCACCGGCCGTAGCTGAGAGGTCATAACGGTTTAGGGTTTAGGGTTTACCTTAGCCCCAAAGAACCTGCTATTTCAAGGATTTATATAAAGAAATCANNAATCATAACAAGGATCCCTAAAAAGCTAGGTTTTACGGGGTCCAGGTAGGCATAGACAGTATGGTCTAAGAAGTTGTGTGGTTAAGACCCTGTAACTGCAATCCAGATCGCCAGAAACCACGGTTTAGGCATTGTTCCCAGAGACTCCAAGATCTTGTAATTTGCGGAATATACCTCAAATTAGACTGGTGAAGATGGTGCTTCTACACTTCGTCTCCGCTCGTGGGGGCGCGCGGGTTTTGCCGTCTGCATGTGTGGCTTACATTTCTGCCTCACCGGTTTCGGTGACGTTGGAGCTTTCACTGCTTTCAAGTGTAGGGTTTAGGGTTTAGGAGCTGCTGCCACAAGCGTTGTGGGCACTCCTTTGACGAGTCCAGACTTTGTCCCGGAGCCTAACTGCAGATCCAAGAAGACACCTTCAATCAGGTTACTGAGTTAAGGATCCTCCAAACCTTAAACCTTGAACCCTAAACCCCTAAACCCCTAAACCCGAAACCCTAAACCCTAAACCGTCATAGGGCTTTCGGTTCCCAGCAGAAGCCAATCCCAGAGGGTCCATATATACTACCATTATG